ACTTAAGTTTTTAATTTTTAAAAATTTATTAATAATAATATTTGTAGGTATTTTTTTATAAGAAAAAGTGAACAAGTCTACATCTCAAAATGGAAAACTATAGAAAAGGAGGATCCCAAAATGACTCACAAAAGATGATTAAAAGAACAAAACTGGTTCCTGTAGGTATATATGTTGGATCTCGTAAAGAAAAAAAAGCTGGATCTCAAGCTTGCCAAGGTTAAGATACATTTCAATATCTAGTATAATGAAGAAGCAAATGTTCTGGCCAAAGAAGTACTAATATTTTCAGTAATAAAATAGAAAAAATTGGTCTCACCCAAGATGATTATAGAAATTAAATGGTAGAATATTGTGCTAGATATCCTTATAAGACAAACTATTAAAAATTAATAATAAAGTAACAATCTATCAATGGACAGCTCAAGGTAGAATTGAAAGAAGATAGGATTAGTAAATTCAAGATCTACACAAATATATGTGAGACCTTGTATGAGAATATTTTAATAAAGGACACATATAGAATACCTCATTTAAAAGCTCATAAAACAAAAGTTTTCTCAATAATTTGACCAATGATAAATTACCAATACTTACAAAGCTGGCCATAAGAAGATCAAATCTTTACAAGCAAGTGACATACATTATATATGACCAGGAAGAGGAAACAATAGAACACTTGCTAGAATATCCAGCTTACAAGGCTCAGTGAAAGGAGATATGGTAAAAAGGAATAGAGAAAGTTTTGAAAGGATTCAGAAAGCTTTTAAAAGAAAGGAAAACTGAATCAAAAGAGAAAGAGTTAAGCTTGAGAATAGATAATAGAATAAAAATAGGAAAAATCAACAAACAGATAGCCAAGCTGGTAGAAAGAATCTCAGAAACCAGTCAGGACATACTTAGCTTCTATATGGGATTAATAGAGGAAGAACTAGTTATAAAATAGTGGATTTGACATGTCATGGCAAGATAATTGAAAAAGAAACAAGAAAATGGATAATAAAGATCACTTTCAAAAAAAATATGGAATACAAGATATGAAAAAGTGATTAAATGGGAACAGAATAAAATTACAGAAAATTGATCCAGTAAGAAACTGATATATAAAGAAAAAAGAATCGAAGACAAGAAGTTGGAAGAAATCCTATTAAATGGAGTGAAGTATGAATGAAATAGTTGGGTTTTGATCTTTGTCAGAGCTTAAAAGAGTGATCTGCAGTAGTGACCTGTGGGCAATAATGTTAGAAGTTGGAAGGGTTTTCACTTGAACCTCTAACAGAGTGATAAATTATTTCCGAAGTTGTACTTAGAAAGATAATATAACCAAAATGAATGAGTTAGTTAGAGATTTAGTTTTAGCATTTTATTTAATATGTATAGCTTATAAATGTTTAATAAAGCACTTATACTAACCTGACAGAGGGTTAAAAAAAAAAAAAAAAACAAGAGAAAATGAAATTTTTACTTATATATATAATACATCTATCAAATTATGAGAAAACCAAAAGGCAATATTTATAGAAGAGAAAGCTGTAACAATGAATAATTTTTTTTTTAACTATGACATGTATATATTTTCTAAAGATATAATCTCAAGTATATAAAAAAAAATAGAATAATATGATCCATACTAGCTAAATGGCAACAAATAAGGTACTACTAATAAAGGGATTATAATTTCTTTTGATAATAAAAAATATATTTAAATCACCTTTTAAGTCTATATGAAGCTTATGTAACCTGAAAATATAGTAAATTTACTTACACTGATTTCAATTTTTTGAATCATGCAATTGCAATTACTTGCTTGAAAGAAATACAATCTGTTTTTGAATCATGCAATTGCAATTACTTGTTTAAAAGAAATACAATCTGTTAATAATAAAGAATTTACTTGCAATGAGGAAAATTTTGATAGAGGCAACTTTTATATGATTAAATAAGGAATTAAAATTAAAATTATAGATATTTTTTAAATATTACAAATTATTAAAAATTTAAGTTATTAATAAATCAAAATTGCTACAATTTTTATTAGGAAATATTCTTTATTACTAGTTAAAAAATAAATTATATAGTACTATGGTATTGCTAATGGAATGTATAACTTGTTGGTTATTCTAAAACTTGGTCAAAAAAATAGAAAAAGAATTATTGATATAAGCAATTATCGATAAATTAATATATTTTGTAAGCACTTGAAACATCGATAATAAAAAATAAAAAAAAAAGATATAGAAAATCAAGTTATTTTAGAAGATACTGGCTATAGTAAGAAATATATTAATATAGATGCAAACAAATGTTCATAAATAGAATAAATATATTTATTTAAATTTAATAAAATGAAAATTTTTAAATTTAAAGTTAAAAAATATTTTGAATGTAAATATATTAGTTAAAAATTTTTTATTAAAATAAAGTCAAGTTAATTTAATATATTTAATTTAATTTAGATAAATCAAAGTAGCTATTATTGAATATATTTTGAAACAGGTTCAAAATAAATCGAATTGGATTTAAAATTCAGATTTGAATCAAACTGAATCAGATTTGGTTTAAATCAAATTAAATCAAATTAATTATTATAATTTAAAATTGTATTGGAATAGTTTAAAATAAATCAGATCCATATTTGATTCATATTTTTTAAACTGAATCGAATTAAATCTAGTTAAATTTGATCTAATTTAATTTGTTGTGATTACCAACTATATGCAATAATTCTAGTAAATAGAGATTATAACCAATTTATTAGGGAAGTATAATATTGTTCTCAAAATTTAATATAGAGTACCTAGTTTAGACTTTGTTTTATTTAGTTCAAACTAGCTTAATGGATTTCTCATATTTTTTAAGTAGTATAATTTTTTAACTATTAATGTGTAAATATGAATTAATCATTAAGTGAAAATTTATGTATAATATATAATAGATAGTTCTAATATTTTAATAAAGATATATTCTGATAGTATAATTGCAGATTAAAAAAAAAAAAAGAGTTTATTATTTATTTTAAGATAATTTGAAAAACAATTTCAAAAATACCTTTTATTTTTTTTTCTTATTTTTATTTTTATTTTATATAAAAACATGACTTTTGATAATTAAAAAAAATAAGAAATACTTTTTTTATCTATAATATAAAAGTTATAAAAAAAAACTTTTTTAAAGCAAAAATATAATATAAAGATTTTTTTGTAATAAAAAATAGAGAAAAAAAAAGTCTTGATTTTGTAAACTTTTCTATTTACTATTTTTTTTTTTATATATAGTTATTTAGTTTTTGAATATTTTGAAAATTTTTATATATTTCAGTTTAATACTAAATTTTAAAGCAATACAAATTTTATTAAAAATAATTTGTTAATATAAATATATTAATAGTAAAATATAAACAAGTTTTTATTACATAATATATATCTCAAAAATAATATAATTGATAATAAAAAGAGTTAATTAATATTTGTATTTATTTTATTTTTTCAATTAAATTAATTTATATTTTAAGTTTCATAAGATTAATAAAATATAAGTATTAAGTTTTTAGATAAAAAAAAAAAAACAATATTTATTTAATTTATTTTTATTATTCTAATTAGATAAAGTTTCTATAATAGTTTTTTTTTATTTTAGTTAAATCTTATAACAATAAGTCTTAAAGTTAATATAATATAAAAATTTATGATAAGTAAAGGTTTAATAGATGATTTATATAGCTAGAAAAATAAATAAATATAAATAGATTTTTTATATAATTGAAAGAAGAAAAAATATTTTGATAAAATACTGTATTTCTCATTGAGAAGAGATGTTAAAAAATGATTTTTGAAAAAAATTAAATAAAAAAATTTTTTTATATTATATTTTCTCTTTTTCTTGTTATATGATTATATTTTTTTAAATATTTATTTTTTCTTTTTCAACTTATTCTCTGTAATTTTCTGTATTTTAGTAATTTGATAGAATATACAGTATATAATAACAATTTATCAAATTGATATGCTGTATATAGACTAGAATAATTTTTACTTGAAGTTTGTTATAAAATAAAATATTGGTTTTAAAATTAAATTCAGAGACTCTTATTACTTATAACATGTTTGTCAGACTTTATAAATGGTTTAACTGTAGTACATATTATACTACTTGAATGAATTATACTAATGCATTCAATCGATTAATAAATTGCAATCTGACCTACCTTAAGAAAGGCTTTACTTGATATTTAATAAAAATAAATAAAAATCAAAGAAATTACATCAAAGTATTATATCAAAAGTTTTTTTTTCAAAAAATTGTTCGCTTATGATTTAGAAAGATGTTTTTATGTAATCCATCACTCGAGTTTTTCAAGGTACGCAAAGATTTTCTTTTTTTCCCATATTTAGTTTGGCGGTCAATAGAGAATCCTGGAAACAATGTTTATACTCACCCATGAGATCATATAGCGTTACTTCTGGTATCGATCGTACAATTTAATTTTACTCGAGGCACAATGATCGCAACTTAAGCATAGAACGGTGGTAGCTTGAAAAATTTTTAATCAGGTGTTCGAATATATTGTAATTATAGACTCAGTCCGCGCTATAGAGAATACTATTATGTTGAGAAAATTTCCCTTTTTGATCATAGGATCCCTCGTGGGCACATTTGACGCTAAAAAAAAAAGGTAAATAGACTATCTAATAGAACTACTGTAAAATACGTAGTCTAAATAATAATGATAACCATTATAGTGGGCATACGTAAGAGTCTTATGCAGGAGGTCATGATCAGACAAATAAGAAATTACCTTATATGTAATGTTTGCATAGTTTCTTTTTCAAATTGCAATTAAATTGCTTACATGTGACAAATTACATTCTCTTCAAATATTGGATCTATAAAAAGGGTCATCGTGAGTAATTACGTAGAGCTACGTGCGCACGTACAACGCCTACAACACCTGCAGTATAATCTCTCTTTTTTTTTTTTCTTCTGTCGATCGCTTAAACCTGATGAAAAGTAAGAAGAATCTTTTAGATTTAATTGGACGCTCGCCTCCAAAAGAATCGGTGTTTGACGCCGTGACAATATCGAGCGACCTTGAACAAAATGAACATTCCTCAGACTTGTTAAGTACATCGTCCAGCAAGAACGCTGAAGTTGGTGACACCAATTTGATGAAAATCGCATTGCCCCGATGTGAACAAAAGATCTTCATCAACGGACCTCCGGAGATGACCACCTCTGCATCACTTTTATCCTTGGTCCAAGTCCCCGTTGAACTTGAAATATGTAGCGTGTGTTTCGGTGAATTTGAGATCATCTATGATTTACAATGCAATCATAAATTTTGTTCGGAATGTCTCCGCAAATTTTTTTTACAAGCGAAGAGTCCAACTTTCATTCTTCCCGTCAGATGTTGCAACAAAGAGATTAACATGGATTACGCTCCGTTAGTGCTTGAATCTGAAGAATTTCAACAAATCATTCAAAGGATAAGTGACGCGTCGTATCATTTGTTTTGTCCGACTCCTGGATGCGAGAACCCGATTCACGTGAACGAAGTTTTCACCAATGACTCAACATCACCACCAATTTCACACGAGGCACCAAAAATTCTCAAATGTCCAAATTGCAATAAAGACATCTGTGTAAAGTGTCGATCACACGCCCATCCGGGTAAAAAATGTTGGAAAGGTGAAAACGAGAAAAAATTTCGTCGAATAACAAGAATGCGCGGATGGAGGCAGTGTACAGCGTGTGGTATTTATGTGGAGCGACGAGGGGGTTGTAAAAATATTCATTGTCCTTGCGGGAATTCTTTTTGTTATCATTGTGGCAAACAGAGGTGCACATGTGTGTTCGGTAGAGGCTGGATCAGAAGCGTAAAACAAAAATTTTGGAAAGTTATCGGATTCTAATCTTTCTTATTCAACCAATTCGGCGGCGGATATTATTGACATTTTGTCTAATTAATAAAATTAATTTTCAGCGGTGTCTAATAACACGTGATCAGAGATCTATAGATGGAAATGATCTAAAAATCGTCAACGTAAAACGGCTTGTATGTACTCAATTTTTTTTTCTCCTTGTAACCATGTCTTCCATTGCTAAAAAACTTGCCACCGCTGCAGTCAACAGAACTTACATCAATGCTCCGTACTCTTCTGTTTCTATAAGGAGATTGTTCGAGGTTTCCAACAGTTATCATCGTGACCCCCCCATTACTCCAATTCCTTCCTGGGTTGTCGGCGTGCAACGACGTCCTGACGGTTCAATTCTCTCGAAAACTGTCGTGAATGGTAAGTTGGCACTCGGATCCTGAGGTGCAAATTGCGCTCCAGTCTTCATTATTAGATCGTGAAGGACTTTTCATTTTGATTATGCTTTCCTTCGTGCAACTTTTTTACTTGAACCTATATTCCCCATTTTTCTGTCAATTCGACTTGAAAAGCCGTACCCTCCACTGGCATCGTTCAGAGGCGTCCATTAACTTCAGCTGCAGTGGATTCTTCTAGATCAACAATGGTTCCCGACTTCACCGATTACAAGAAAAAGAATACCGATTCCTATACCAATCGCACTTTCACCTATTTAATGGTTGGCGCCACTGGTGTGGTGACTGCCAGTGGGACAAAGGCTTTAGTTACCGATTTTCTCGCAAATTTGAGTGCATCTGCCGATGTACTGGCCTTGGCAAAAGTCGAAATAGATTTGGCAAAAATTCCCGAAGGCAAAAATGTTACCATTAAATGGCGCGGAAAACCTGTTTTCATTAGGCACAGGACTCCCAGTGAAATTGACGAGGCCAATTCAGTCAAATTAAGTGAACTCAAGGATCCACAGGTTGACGCCGAAAGGGCTAAAAGGCCCGAGTGGTTAGTTATGATTGTGAGTAGAATTGTACAAATTGTATTGCTGGTTAAACAATGCTAATGAGAATGTGAATTTAATCATCCATCATTTATTTAGGGTGTGTGCACTCATTTAGGTAATGCTATTTTTAATAAATTTCTTCTTTTTCGTTCGTTAACATGAAACCCTCGAACTCAATCGTACATTCATAATTTAATATTTATTTAGGCTGTGTTCCAATCGGTGAATCGGGTGATTATGGTGGTTGGTACTGTCCATGCCACGGTTCCCACTACGATATCTCTGGTAGGATTAGGAAAGGTCCCGCACCACAAAACCTTCCAATTCCCGCGTACGACTTTGAGAATGATTCCAAGTTGATTATCGGATGATCAAGAGAATCTCGATAAAATCGTTTCAGTGATAATAAAGGCTTTCTTGATAGGACGATTAATGTGTTCCTTAATGGAATTTCTTTCCGAGAAAGAATAGTGTGCACTCGGTTGCGGCATAGGATTTTTGAGTATAGTGCCATTTGTGATTTTGATTATATAATTTGCGCGCTTGATGCTGTATGTGCTGGATGGACTCCAGAGGTTTTATTCAATTACATTAGTAAGTTCATTAAAAGAAGTGACATACATGATTATGATAATGTTAACGATTATCTAATTTATATAATTTAAAATTTTGTCGTAATTCTTGAAAACTATGTACAAAAGTCATAGCTCTATATATAGAATGTACAATTTATCGTCGACCTCCCATTTGCTTCATCATATTTTGCATTTGACTTAGATCTGGCATACCGCCTAATCCACTTCCCCCCAAGCCATTCATCTATGAATAAAAAATTTGTCACAAATTTGAGAATGATATCAATAATCATAATTCTTTCTTTTCCTCAAATAAATACTTACCATTTGACGCATCATGTTGTTCATATTCATACCGGCCATACCACGGGGGAGCATCTATTTGAATAAATCGTTTTCGTTGAAATTACAGAATTAGAGAAAAATTATAGTTTGATCATATTTCCATACCCTTTGCATTTGAGCCACTTTTTGTTGCATTTGTTGAGGTGACATTTTCGAAGAATCCATTCCTGGTCCAATACCTCCTAAGGCACGGAGATACGTTGTTACTTATTTTCTTTCTCTGATATGGTCCAAAACGATAAAAGGTAATAACAATGATTCCGTTACCTTTGAGAAACCCTTTGCCAAATTTCTTGACCATTCCCTGAAATACTTTATGTTGATCTAAGAGCTCCTCTACTTCTTTGACGGAAGTACCAGAGCCTCTCGCAACACGCAATATACGGCTGGGCTTCTGATAGAAAATCTTACCATCCGAATCAAGCTCCGATTCACTCATACTATCCATAATCGTCATCAACCTGTAATAAAGAAATTGTAAGTAGCTGCGAGTTCGTAGATCGTTGAAACGTGATAACAAAATAACCCACCTTTTTATTCGTTGCGCTCCCAATTCATCGGAACCCTCGAAATTCATTTCCGACATACCTGGCATCATTTGCATCATTTTTGAAAGTGGTCCCATCTTTGATATATTTTGGAACTGCTCATACATGTCTCTTATGGTGAATATTCCTAATAGAATGATATAAAGTTATTTTGAGATTCATGTTTATTCTTGCGAATATATTAAATAGAGACAAACCCTGCTCCAAATTTTTCATCAAATTTTTGTTCTGATCTAATTTTAAATCTTTCACAGTTTCCATTAAGCCGGAAATATCACCCATCCCTGATATGTAAATAACGCATTAGTAAATGCATAAGGACCCTTTTGAAAATAAGAACTTCACGTACCCAGCATTTTTTGAACGAATCGCCTGGGCTCAAATCTTTCCAGGTCATGAATATGTTCCCCAGTACCAATGAAAATAATAGGACTATGCGTTGCTGCCACACTAAAGAGCATATTGCAAGTGAATAAATAATATTTGCGAGATTCTTGATCTTACTCCCACAAAATTCTTACGCTGATATAGCCCCACCACCTTTCGCGTGACCGTCCATCTTGGTTATAATAATGGAACCAATATCGGCTGCTTCGTGAAACGCTTTGGCTTGAGCTTCGGCGGCTTGACCGATCGTTGCATCCATCACGAAAATAGTATTATCTGGATTCTAAATATTTATTAACCTGTGCAATGATAATAAATGATCTATCAGGTTAAAGTGTCTTACCACCACTGACGAAATCTGTTTCATTTCCTCAAATAACTCGGACTCCTGTTTATGTCTACCGGAAGTATCTACAATGATTATTTCAAAAAATTCCTTTTTGAATTTATCTACACCTTCATGAGCTATTTGAACGGGGTCTGTTTCCGTGTAACTAACAAGAAACTTTGTAAATTAAAGCTAAAAATAATAAGCGGAAATTGATGTTGATAATCACCTCCCGTAATACGGTATCTTTGCTTTGGTAGCATTTTGTTTCAACTGGTCAAATGCACCAGCACGGAATGTATCAGCACACACGAGACATACTTTCCATCCTTTACGTTGGTAATGATATGCCAGCTTAGGTGAAAAAGACAACAATCTTTCAGCAGATGTTTTGAGATCAAAAGAAGGATGCAGACAGATTAATTTTGAAATCATACTTTCGTGCAAGTCGTCGTCTTACCGCTACCTTGCAAACCAACGAACATAATGACGTTGCATACACCTTTTCTTGGTTTGTATGGCTCAACTCCAGGTTCAACAAGCCGACAGAGTTCATCAAGAACCGCCTACTTAAACCATACAACGAAAAATCAGTGGAATTCACAATGTCAAATATATTCATATATATATATGTATATAAAAGTGAAACCTTTTGTATAACTTTTCTCTTGTTTATTCCTGCCGCTAGATCCTGAATGTTTACGGCAGTTCTAACATTATTCCTTAAATTTCCCACCAAACGGACATTCACGTCGGCTTCCAAAAGTGCATGACAGATTTCTTTCAACAATGCATCGAGAACCTTTATAAAAAAAAAACGGAAAGCACAAGTCAATCCTACTGTTTAGCGGAACGAAAATCTAAAAACATACTTTTGCATCTATGACAGGCTCTTTGTTGATTTGAACCAACGCCGCATTAATTCGACGACCAAGATCAGCTAAGACCATATTTCAATACGTAGAGGGTTTATGGCAAAAAAAAACTATATATATTTTTTGGCATTCACGTGATAGAAACTTATACCCTTAAAAATCATGCTTTATAGAGAATGCATTTAGAGAAGTTTTTCTATATATACAGTACAGTTTTTAAAGATTTTTGTTTTTTTTTGATAAATGAATAAGCAATCCTATAAGAATATACGGTTGCTTTCAAAACTTTGAGTCCACTTATATATTATGTATTAATACTTACTTTATTTTTTATATTTTTTTAAAAAATTTTTTGCTAATACATTCTAAAGTTTTATTAAAGTTAAATATCTTTATATTTTTATTAGTTATCATATGATTTATGATAACAGCCAATCAAAATTCTTCAAAAGTGAAAATATGATAAAGGAAACAATAATAAAACTTTAAAAACTACATATAAAATTTTTTTGACTATATATACAGTAAATTTGATTATATAATTAAAGATTAAAAAAAACCTGTGGATCTATAGCATAGTGATAGTGCTCCCAGGTCAAAATCACAAGATCCAGAGTTCAATACTATCTGAGGATCAAGTAAAAACATCACATACAATAAAAATGATTCTATTGAATAATAAATTATCACTTGTTATTGAGTACAATCTTGACTATTTTACCAATATCCCAAATAAAAGAATCTATTATAATATGGAATTATCTATAGTTAATCTCTACCAAATCAAGCTGGTTTATAAGTATTGTAGATAATTAATATCTTATCATTATTATAATAAGGTGAAGGAAAATGAATTAATTTTGTGATTAACTAGGATAGAAACTGAATTAATAAAGACACTTTGACAATCTCCAGTGTGATAAATAAAAGCATAGTCAAACTTGTCTATAGCATATTATTGGAAGATTTTAATGAAAAGAGAAATCCACAAACTATGTCAAAGTTTCAAAATCAAGAATAGGTTAGAATATACACAATAGTTTGATAATTAGATTACTCTATAAAATTATTTTAGAAAAAATTAAAAAAGCATTATATATCCTTTCTAGAAGGAAAACCAGATAACTGAATAGGTTTATCTAGTATATTATATATAGAATAGTTTAATTACTTATCATAATAGATAATATATGGTTTACATTATCCCATAAATTAAATGTATACAAAGACATATTAACTATAAAAAGTTAATAAAGAATATATAAGAAAGTTTTCAAAGGAAGAAAAACTGACTATAAAGTATCTAAAGGTTTTTCTAACTTTTGAAGCAAGAGATTTATAGAGATTTTCTATAGTAAAAAGATTTATTTTCTTTTTTTTTAACTATTTTGATTTTCTTAAAGCTTTTATTTTTACAGTTTTCTGAAAACTTTTGTCTACCCCAGTTTGTTCTTTAATTTTGAATATATAAATCCTTATTAAAATTAATTGGCTAATATGAAATGCATTAGTTTTTGAAATATAAATAGGCTTCTATTGATAATACTCATATACAGTATCTCGATATATTATTTTAAAAAAAATATCCTCTCCAATTATATATGTTCAACTTCTAGGAAACAATTATAATATTGAAAGACAAGTGATAGATAAAAAAGAAAATCCAACTTCTATCTCTTATTAAATTTCTCAGGTAGTAAAAAAACTTGATTAAACAAAAGCCAAGATTTTTAAGTTTTTATTCTGATTAGACAAAGTTCTTGAAAAGATTTCTTTATTCCAATTAAACAAACTCTTTTGTAATATGATGCTGACTTAAATAGCATTAAGTAAATCTATATATCAGTAGAAGAATAAATTCTTCAAATATTCTTCTTATTATAAAATCACTTTTAGAAATAATTAAGTTTCTTAAATATCATAAAGCTTAGAGAATATTCCAATCCGACAAATCCCTTTTGAAAGAAAACTGTGAAATAAAGCAAGAATCTTTTGAAGGATATTAAATTATATTTCCTTTTCCTCTTTTTTCCAGTATCAACTTTAGCAATTCATTGTTTTTTGGGATAATAAATAGTAATAAATTGTTAAAAATAACTCTAGTTGACTTAGAGACTCTATTTCAAGCTACTAGAAGAGTATAATATTGTTCCCTAAATCTGATTTAAAGTATCTAGTTTAGACTTAGTTTTGTTTAGTCCAAACTAGCTTAGTAAACTTTTTATATTTTTTAAATAATGTAGTCATTTAATTAATAATGTATAATAATAAGTTAATCACTTTGTAAAAGGTTGTAAACATTGTGATATCCTTTAATATCTCAATAAAGATACAGTATACTATTATAGTATAATTGTGGGTTAAAAAATAATAATTAAGGATTAAAAATTGTCAAAGTTGAAATTTGTAATAAAAACATAATAAGTAGATTCAAACTTTTAAAAGAAACTATATATACAATCTCTTTTAATAAATAATAGAATACTTAGAAATTATTATAATTAATTAGAAATAGTTTCAATATATAAAATTTCTTATTTTAAACCTGTGGGTCAATAGCATAGTGAATGTGCTTTCAGGTCATCATTCATAAGTTACTGGTTCAATTTCACTTCAAAACAGTATTTGTATTATAGGTTACATTATAAAAGAATGCATGCTAATCAACCACATATATACTTGGATATAAACAACCTATAAAAACTTACTGTCTAATTACGATGTAATAAAACAGGTTATACAGGTCCTAGTTAGTTTTAGTATTAGGAAAAAAAGAAGATCCTTACTATTTGAAATATGTAAAGATACTGAAAGTAAGCCAGGAATCAATTCTGATTGGTCCATGCCTCCAATGAAAAATGTGAACAGTTGCCTCCTCTTGAAAAACATCTTTATAGAAGATTTGAAAAACTTCAGTCATCTGCACTAGTCAAAAATGTATTGGACTGTAACAAACTTGAATTAATAGGAGATCCTATAGATTGTAAAATCAACAGTTACCAGAGAGGATAGCTTGCAATGAAGCTGGTAATTAGGGTTAATATTATGATAGAAACTGCAGTAGATAGATGCATTTGAAAGAAACTTAAGGCCTCATTTGACCAAGGAATACCTCTTTGTAGGTCATAATTGAAGAGTGGTTAAAAATAATCACAATGTGAGACTATATATTATCCACATAACATACTATTGAACTGTTTGGATATTAACTCACGACTGTTATGTATGAAATAGTCAAGATTAGAATCAGCCCTTTGAGGACTATACATGATAAAAATTATTCATAATACTCACTATCCTCAAGTGGAAACAAGACCATACTAAGAAACAAACACAACAAACTTCTTGAAGATTGAAAAATAAGAAGTTCATAGTAGATTTTTTCAATACTTTAGATCCAGACAGAGCAGGGTAACTAATAAAAATGATGTCACTATATAATAAAATTAATAGACTTGATTAGGTAGTTTAAAAGAGATTATACAAATTGCTCATATAATCTGAAAATATACTATTAATACCTCAATAAAGATTTATCCCATTAGTTGGACTAGTAAAAAAAAATAAATAAAAAAAAAATTTTTTTATTTTATTAATTAAATTAGATTTTATTATTAAGTAAACTTATTTCTTATAATGAATTCTATATATAATAAAAAATTTTATCAAACTTTTATTATTATTATTATTATTTTTAACTAGTCCAACTGACAAGATGAATTTTTATTGAAAAATCAATAGTATATTTTTAGATTACATGAGCAATTCATATAATCTTCTTAAACTACCTATTCTAACCAAGTCCATCAATTTTACCCATAATAATACTATTTTTATTAGTTGCTTTGCTCTGCTTGAGACTGTAGTGTTCCGAAGATTCACTATAGACTTCTTATTATTCTTCAAAGGGCTTGTGTTATGGGTTTCTTAGTGAGGTCTTTGTGTATCATTCGATGGTTATGGATACTGTGGATAATCTCTATTATGTTTGGATCCTTCGTACATTAGTTAAAACTTAAATGGCGCAGTCCTCTGGTCATGTTCTTAATATCCAGGCAATTCAATAGTATCATGTAATTAGGTGGCATATAACCTTTTATTGTCTCATTTTTAACCACTCTTGCAAGTTGGTCTAACAGGAGTTTTCTTTGATTATTTAATAGTGAATTGCTTCTCCCATTGAATTGATTATCTTGATAATTATTTCTGAATTTCTTTTTCCA